GCGATGGCGGTGGAAGGCTGCATGAGATGCGTCAAGTTTCTGGTTTTCTTCTTCAACTTCTTGTTCTGGGTGAGTCGGGCCTGGCGGCCCCCCCTCCCCGCGCTGGGGGCCCCGGGGAGGGGGGAGCCCCCTTGAGGTGACCCGAACTAGCTCCTAGGTCCGTCACCCCCTCCCGAGTGCCCCCAGACTCCCTGGGGGGTCCGGCTGACTCAGCAGTGGGCAGGGAGGTTCCAGCTGGGCTCTGGCTGAGGGGAGGGTCAAGCTGGAAAGTCCCTTGGGTCAGCTGCAAAATGTGACCCTGGAAGTTGGGCCAAGTGGGGGTCCGGTACCTCCCACACCCCCACCCAGCTGGGCCTGAGCTGGGGCATGGCTGGGCAGCAGGGCTTGGGGGCAGGTTGTGTCCCAGCTGCCCTTGTAGCAGACCAGAGTCCAGGCTAGATGGGCCCAGGCTGAGGGCGATGTGCGGGGCCGGTTTAGCTCATTACAGACCAGAATCTGAGCCATGGGGCCCAGCTCCAAGTGAGCCTCTTTCCTGTGTTGGGGGTGGGCCCAAGACATGGGGCTGCCCCCTGGCTCCGGTGGGCTAATCGGGCTCCAGTCAGTCCTCCAAAGGGCGCTAAAACGCACAGAGCATCACTACTCGTTTTGCTACGGGGGCTAGTTCAGCATATGGGGGGGGGGGGGATCATGGAGGTGAGGAAGTTGGCTAGTGTTGTCGTGAACCTGCTGCCACCGAGTCACCCGGGACCAGACTCCCTGCTGTCCCAGCAAACTGGGACTCTTCCCCTGCAGTATAAGGTCTATGACAAACAGACTTGGGGTTGTGCAGAAGGCATAGTGTCACTCCCTTGGCGAGTGATGGCAGGCGGCTTCTCTGGAACACGTCCACAGATTAAAGGAGTTTCCGTTGAATGTGTCTGGAGGGTGAGAAACCAGTCCAGAAGTGCAGGAGTGGCGACAGGACTTTCCCCGGCCGCCCCCGGCTCCCTGCTAGGGTGAGGCACAAGAAAAGGCTGGCTGAGCCACAAGGCTTTTTCTGGTGCTCCCGGGCAGGAAACCTGCAAGGTGCCTGCTTGGAAATGGCCGACTCATTTGGAGGGTGTGGGTTGCAGGGGGCAGGTAGCTATCCCTTCTTAGGAGTCAGATGGGGAAAATGGGGTATCCTATCCCCCCTTCCTGAGGAGCTGGTGATTTCCTGCTAAGAGCCCAGCAGCTGCTCTGTTGATCTATGAGCAGCCATCATTAGGTTCCAGGGGCAACACCCCAACGAAGTCAGTGAATCACACCCAAGAGTGGCCGCTGGAGACCTTATGCCTCAACCACATCTTCATGCCTCTTGAACTGCCCTGCAGGCAAATCCCAGAGCAGGCCTGGGGCCCTCACCTGCCCTGGACAGGTGCCCCCGCCTCCTGGGCAGCTGGGCCTCTGTCCCCTTGGCATCTCTGCTGGGCTGCCTTGGCCTGTGTGTGACTCAGTGTCCAGCGTCCCTGGGGCTAGGCTGGGTGCTAAGGGCCCCAGGGTGCTGGAGGGGAACTGCTGAGGTGCTGGGCCCCCCCACCCGTGAGATGCTATCACAGCCCCAGGCACGTGCCACACGGCCAAGGGGAAGTGGCTGGTGGGGAAAGAGCTGGATGGCCAACGGTTCTGGGCTTTGATTGTAATCAGGCCACGATTGGCCAACAGACCGGGCTGGAGGGGAGGGGGCCACAACTGCCCCCGTCTCCAGAGGGGCTGAGTCACCCCTCACAGGCTGGCCAGGGGCCCACTTGCTCAATGGCCGGAAGGAGCCAGGCCCTGTGTCCCAGCCCCACCCAGCCAGGGAGGAAGGACCTTGGCTGTGAGGCGGGGGCATGTGCAGGGACCCCGGACCCAGTGGCACTGGGGGAGCAAGGGGCGGCTGGGTCCGTAACTCCCCACTGCCCTGCATGGACACTCCCTGTGGCTTCTCCCTGTGCCTGGTAACCTGACCCGCCCTCGGGGAGGGGCTCCAGGGAGCAGCCTGGTGCTCTGTTTATCCTCCGCCCATGCTCCCTGGCAGGTAAACACACCTGGGCCCGAGCGCCAGACTTTCCCCGGGTGCGGATCCCTGGGCCCAGCTCCCTCCTGATGGAAGGACCCGGCTGGGGGGGCTCTGCCTGGCGCCCCAGCTCCCTTGGCACCAGCCACCTCTGCTCTGACCACTAGTCATCACTCTCCTCCCGGGGCCTGGCTCCCTGCACCCTCCCCACCGTAGCCCGCCCCAGGGAGGTGGGACGTGGGGGCCAGGCCTGCACCCCAGGGCTCCTGGCCAGCAGCAGCCGGAGGCGAATTGCTGCAGGACTCTCGTCCTTGGTGGGGGAGGGGGGAGGTTGAGGCTAACGTGGCATCTGCCCAGCCCTGTGTGACGGAGCTAGTATCCTCCCTGGGATCCCAGCGTGCCGGAGCCGGTGTCCGCCTGGGATCCCGGGCAGGGGGAAGGGGGGTGTCGTCCTTGGCATTAGCCCCTGTGGTGGGAGAGCCGGTGCCAGGATCCTCTCCCCTCTGCGAGGCCCCAGCCCTCCCCCCGCACCGCGATCAGGCCGGAAACCCAGACTCAGCAGACGGCGTCACTAACCGCCTCCCCCGCCCTGCCGCGGCTGTGCTGGAGGGGGGCAAGGCGGACGGGCTGGGGGGGTTATTCCCCACTTAGTGACCCCAGGCCGTGTTGGGGGGAGGCCTGTCCTCCCATAGGGTTTCTCTTGTGGTCACATGCCCCACCCCTGTGGGTTCCAGCTGGTCCCGGCCGGGGCTGAGCAGGAAGCAAAGGGAAGCCCTGGATCACGGTGTGTTGTGTGTTGTGTGTTGTGTGTTGTGTGTTGTGTGTTGTGTGTTGTGTGTTGTGTGTTGTGTGTTGTGTGTTGTGTGTTGTGTGTTGTGTGTTGTGTGTTGTGTGTTGTGTGTTGTGTGTTGTGTGTTGTGTGTTGTGTGTTGTGTGTTGTGTGTTGTGTGTTGTGTGTTGTGTGTTGTGGGGTGTGTGTGTGTGTCTCCCAAGAGGTTACAACACTTAGACCTGGGGGGGGGGGGGGGCG